CCTCACGAAAATGATGAAAACGTGGCTGCGGCCTAGGCGCGGCGGGGGGGTCGTGCACCAGGGGCCCCAACAATAATTATTCTTTAGAAGTAATAATGTTCAAAGCAAGGGCGGCCAGCGCCGACCCGTCGGGACCCCCCCCCGGCAACAACCACAACAACGACCACCCCCCCCGCACACAACACCACAACAACGCCGTTTGCTTTCGATTTCTGTGAACATCTGCGGACCTCCCCCCTGGCACCAACGAATTCCTGCCGGCAGAAAGCATGCGTGCACCGGCGAAACGAGGAATTCCTAGGAATCCTTCTACGAATTCCTAGGGATCCCTACGAATTCCTAGGAATCCTTCGAATTCCTACGGATCCTTAGGAATTCCTAGGAATCCTGAGGGATTCTGAGGAATCCTGACGAATTCCTAAGAATCCTTTCGAATTCCTGAGAATCCTTACGAATTCCTAGGAATCCTTAGCCATTCCTAGGAATCCTTACGAATTCCTAGGAATCCTTGGGCATTCCTAGGAATCCTTACGAATTCCTGGAATCCTTTCGAATTCCCAGGGATCCTTACGAATTCCTGGGAATCCTTACGAATTCCTAAGAATCCGTTCGAACTCCTACGAATCCTTACGAATTCCTAGGAATCTTCAGGACTTCCTGGGAATCCTTAGGACCTCCTAGGAATCCTTAGGAATTCCTAGGAATCCTTAGGAATTCCTAGGAATCCGTACGAATTCCTAGGAATCCTCATGAATTCCTAAAAATATTTAGGAAGTCTTAGGAATCCTTCGAATTCCGAGGAATCCGTTCGAAATCCTAACAATCCTTACGAATTCCTGGGATTCCTTACGAATTCCTAAGAATCCGTTCGATTTCCTACGAAGCCTTACGAATTCCTAAGAATCTTTAGGAGTTCCTGGGAATCCTTAGGAACTCCTAAGAATCCTTAGGAATTCCTACAGATCCTTAGGAATCCCTAGGAATCCTAACGAATTCCTAGGAATCTTAACGAATTCCTAGGAATCCTTAGGAATTCCTGAAAATTTTTTGGAATTCTTAGGAATCCTTCGGAATTCCTACGAATCCGTAGGAATTCCTGAGAATCCTCACGAATTCCTAAGAATCCTCAGGCATTCCTAAGATTCCTTTGGCATTCCTCGGAATCCTTAGGCATTCCTAGGAATCCTTAGGCATTCCTAAGAATCCTTAGGATTTCTCCGGAATCCTTGGGAATTCCTCAGAATCCTTAGGAATTCGTAGACATCCTTAGGATTTCTCCGGAATCCTTAGGATTTCTCCGGAATCCTTAGGCATTCATGAGAATCCTGAGGCATTCCTAAGAATTCTTCGGAATTCCTAAGAATCCTTGAAATTTCTCCGGAATCCTTCGGAAGTCCTAACAATCCTTAGGAATTCCTAAGAATCCTTAGGAATTCTTAGTAATCCGTAGGAATTCTTGGGCATCCTTAGGAATTCCTAGGAATCCTTAGCAATGTCGTAGGAATCCGTGAGAATTTCTTAAGGATCCTTAGGAATTCCTTGGAATCCTTAGACATCCGGGAGATTCCAATGGATTCCCAGGGATCCGAAGGAATTCCTAAGAATCCTCGAGATTCTCATGGATTCTCACGATTCCTAAAGATTCCTCAGGATTTCGATGAATTCTTAGAACTCCTACAGATTCCTAAGGATTCCTGGGAATTTTAGGGATTCTGGGGAATCCTAAGGATGCCCAGGAATCCTCAGGAATTCCTGAGGATCCTCAGAAATTCCTAGGAATCCTTAGGAATTCCGAGGAATCGCTCGGAATCCTTCGGAATCCTTAGGAATTCCTAGGAATCCTCAGGAATTCCAAGGAACCCTTAGGAATTCCTAGGGATCCTTCTGACTTCCTACGAATCCTTAGGAATTCCTGGGAATCCTTCGGAACTCCTAAGAATCATTCGGCATTCCCTGGGATCCTGCGGAATTGCTAGGAATCCTTAGGCATCCCTAGGAATCCTTAGGAATTCCTAGGAATACTTAGGAATTCCTAGGAATGCTTCCGAATTCCTGAGAATCCTTAGGAATTCCTAGGAATCCTCAGGAATTCCTAGGAATCCTTCGGAATTCCTAGGAATCCTTAGGAATCCTTCGGAATCCTTAGGAATTCCTAGGAATCCTCAGGAATCCTTCGGAATCCGTAGGAATTCCTAGGAATCCTTAGGAAGCCCTAGGAATCCTTAGGAATTCCTAGGAATCCTTAGGAATTCCTACGAATCCTTAGGAATTCCTAGGAATTCCTAGGAATCCTTAGGAATTCCAATCCTTCGGAATTCCTAGGAATCCTTCGGAATTCCTAGGAATCCTTAGGAAGTCCTGGGAATCCTTAGGAATTCCGGTTGGTGTGAGTGTCGTGGGGGGGGTGTTGTGGGACACGGGTCGGGGCGCCCCGCCCTTACTAACAACCACAACACCAACAACAACAACAACAACAACAACAACAACAACAACAACAACAACAACAACAACAACAACAACAACAACAACACCAACACCAACACCAAGAACAACAACAGCAACATCAACAGCATCATCAG